TCGAATAGCCAAAGTAATCTTGAGAAAGAAGAATGGAACTGGAGGAATCAACCTGCCTGGCTTGAGACTATACTACAAAGCCACAGTCATCAAGACAGTATGGTATTGGCACAAAGACAGAAATATAGATCAATGGAACAGAATAGAAAGCCCAGAGATAAATCCACGAACCTATGGTCACCTTATCTTCGACAAGAGAGGCAAGGATATACAATGGAAAAAAGACAACCTCTTTAACAAGTGGTGTTGGGAAAACTGGTCAACCACTTGTAAAAGAATGAAACTAGAACTTTCTAACACCATACACAAAAATAAACTCAAAATGGATTAAAGATCTAAATGTAAGACCAGAAACTATCAAACTCCTAGAGGAAAACATAGGCAAAACACTCTCTGACATAAATCACAGCAGGATCCTCTATGACCCACATCCCAGAATATTAGAAACAAAAGCAAAAATAAACAAATGGGACCTAATGAAACTTAAAAGCTTTTGCACAACAAAGGAAACTATAAGCAAGGTGAAAAGACAGCCCTCAGATTGGGAGAAAATAATAGCAAACGAAGCAACAGACAAAGGATTAATCTCAAAAATATACAAGAAACTCCTCCAGCTCAACTCCAGAAAAATAAATGACCCAAACAAAAAATGGGCCAAAGAACTAAACAGACATTTCTCCAAGGAAGACATACAGATGGCTAAAAAACACATGAAAAGATGCTCAACATCACTCATTATCAGAGAAATGCAAATCAAAACCACAATGAGGTACCATTACACGCCAGTCAGGATGGCTGCTATCCAAAAGTCTACAAGCAATAAATGCTGGAGAGGATGTGGAGAAAAGGGAACCCTCTTACACTGTTGGTGGGAATGCAAACTAGTACAGCCGCTGTGGAAAACAGTGTGGAGATTTCTTAAAAAACTGGAAATAGAACTGCCATATGACCCAGCAATCCCACTTCTGGGCATACACACCGAGGAAACCAGATCTGAAAGAGACACGTGCACCCCAATGTTCATCGCAGCACTGTTTTTCATAGCCAGGACATGGAAGCAACCTAGATGCCCATCAGCAGACGAATGGATAAGGAAGCTGTGGTACATATACACCATGGAATATTACTCAGCCATTAAAAAGAATTCATTTGAATCAGTTCTAACGAGATGGATGAAACTGGAGCCCATTATACAGAGTGAAGTAAGCCAGAAAGATAAAGACCATTACAGTATACTAACACATATATATGGAATTTAGAAAGATGGTAATGATAACCCTATATGCAAAACAGAAAAAGAGACACAGATGTATAGAACAGACTTTTGGACTCTGTGGGAGAAGGCGAGGGTGGGATGTTTCAAGAGAACAGCATCGAAACATGTATATTATCTAGGGTAAAACAGATCACCAGCCCAGGTTGGATGCATGAGACAAGTGCTCGGACCTGGTGCACTGGGAAGACCCAGAGGGATCGTGCGGAGAGGGAGGTGGGAGGGGGGGTCGGGATGGGGAACACATGTAAAGCCATGGCTGATTCATGTCAATGTATGACAAAACCCACTACAATATTGTAAAGTAATTAGCCTCCAACTAAAAAAAAAAAAAAAAAAAAAACCTAAAAAAAAAAAGCCTAGATGTAGATTTATAAAGTTCAGGTATTTTTAAACCATGATTCAGCAAGTCCTTTCAAACAGTCCTTATAAGTTCTGTAACTACTAAACATGTGGCTATTACAATTATTATATACTATATTAAATTTTTGTCTTAATTCTTCAGAATTCTTATACCCAATTATCTAAAAATCTTTCACATAGTTCAAACAGTATACCTTTCCTTAACTGAATATTCAGTCAATAAATACAGTATAGATTAATTTCTTATAGCCTTACCTCTGCACACACAAAAAAAATCCCATTAATTTGAAAAAAACAGTATCCATTTCCCAAAAATAAAATTTTAGATCATCACTAACTCTTTATTCTACCTTTTTCCCCACAAAAATTGTCAGGAAAACTACCAAATTTTTATCTAGAACAGTTTCTGTGGTCGCCCTTTCTTTCTCTTCATTGCACCCTCAGCTTGCTTGGCCAATGGTTCCCAAACATGGCTCCTCAGCAGAATCAGTTGGGGATCTGGAATCAAGATCCTCACCGGATCTTTAAACACGATGAACGCCTAGCTCTACCCCCCACGCAGCAATTAGAATGGGGTAGCTCAGTGGTAAAGAATCTGCCAGCAATGCAGGAGGCCCAGGTTCCACCCCTGGGTTGGGAAGATTCCCTGGAGAAGGAAATGTCAACCCATTCCAGTATTCTTGCTTGAAGAATCCCATGGACAGAGGAGGCTGGCAGGCTACAGTCCATGGGGTCACAAAGGGTCAAACATGACTGAGCAACTAAACAACCATGGCCTGGGTACTAGCAATTCTAACGTGCAAAATTTGGCCACCGCTGACCTTGGCTCTGAAGTATTTAAGCTATGATTTTTTTAATCAACCTCAAAGTTTTCCTTTCCTATGGCAAGTTCTGAAAAGAATCCTTTTTTCCTTTTTACCTTCCATACTATTTTCTCCACCCAAATCCCCAATTTCCACTATATGGATTATTATTGACTTGCATCTCCTCTTAAGATTGGACAGTGTCATCCTGTGTATAAAATACATAAACTGTACCAGATGATTTCTAAGGTTTCTTCCACTCAGAATTTATATAGTTCTCAAAAGAAAAAAAAAATCAACAGTACTTCCTAGATTATCAAGCTCACCTGCCACCTTCTTCAGTTCTCCTTAACTACCCTCCTTTTTCTGAGTTGAACCATATGAAATCAGCCAATATTAAACCATTTCTAACCTAAAACACAGCTAATTCATATGCTCCATCTTAATAACCCCTCCTACTTTCCCTTTTATACAAAACATACCCAAGCTAAACTTTCTTTCTTTCTTGAAAACCCCAACAAAATCTCAATTCCCTGTTTTAACTTAGAAAGACATGATGACAAGAACAGGCAAAAGAAATGGGTCCAGTCCTGAAGATAAAAGATGCTTTTTTCTTTTTAATGTTCTACCCATACTTGGGTAAGGAAGAGCTATTAAATGAATTAATATTTAAAAGTTTCTCTAAGCTAAAGGCTACACTAAAGCAGAGATACTACAGTTTACCTAAATTGTCTTCTTAGTGTGTTTCAATCAGACTACTAGAAGTGAAGTCGCTCAGTCGTATCCAACTCTTTGTGACCCTGGGGACTGTAGCCCGCCAGGCTCCTCTGTCCATGGGATTCTCCAGGAAAGAATACTGGAGTGGGTTGCCATTTCCTTCTCCAAGGGATCTTCCCAACCCAGGGATCGAACCCAGGTCTCCCGCATTGTAGGCAGACGCTTTAACCTCTGAGCCACCAGGGAAGCCCACAATCAGACTACTATCTCAGGCTTAATCATCACTTGAACCATTTACACCTGTTGACCCTGTGATTTCAGACTGTTCTCCCAGAGCCCAACCTCTCAAAAGTATACACTGCTAAACATATACATGGATCTATTCTTTTTCAAATTCTTTTTCCATTTAGGTTATTACAGGATATTGAGTAGAGTTTCCTGTGCATTGATCAACTATACTTCAACGGAAAACTTTTAAAAATTCTTAAAAAAAATTTTTAATAAAAAAGTGTACACTGCTGATCACTGATAGGGAGAGCTGGGAGTCAGTAAGAAGAGTGTATAATAAGATCATTATAAATTCACTACCTACCACTACTGGAAAGACATCATGAGCTCATGGTTTAAAGACAACAGAAAGTTCTATGCAATACATTACTGTATTTTTTCTTAAAGGGGCTCACTCACCAGTTTCACTGTGGTTTAGAAACATCTAATGCCATCTAATTCAAGGCATGTTCATAATGCCTGATACACTTTTTTTTAAGTCAAAGAAATAGAAAATGATCTGTCAATTGGGATTAAAGGTTATCTCTCAATTCCCAATTTTATCACATCCAATAGTCTTTTATAACACTATGTACAATGATTCAAAATACCTCTATAAGACTTCTGTCTGAGCCATTTCATGCAAAAGGGTTGGTTAGAATTTCATTGTATTTGGATCTGATCTAATATAAAAAAGTTAAGCAGTAAATACAAAATTCACTTTAGGGGGTAAGGCACCTCAAAGAGGTGGGAAATCCTCCTCCTAAGCAGCTGACATGGAGGTGTGATGAGGGGCCCTGTGACGGCCAATCAAGAGAAACAAGTCCTTGTACTAAGTTGCTAGGCACAGGAAACAAACATTAGTTTCAGATATGATCCCCAAATTGAAAATCACAAGAGCAGGCATTCAAAACTGGCTTTGATCTGTGATGGAGCTACTACAGACAGAGGCAGCTCTGAGCAGTGGGGCCCCAGGGTGAGGCACAGCAGGGACTGACTTATTTAACAATGGCTAATATTTCTCCTGGGGGGGAGCCAGCTAGCTTTCAAATAACACCTATTAAATTTGTACATGGCCAAGTTTACATGAATATTAGGGGATTAAAATCCAAGATCTCTACAATTTAGTATAAGCTGTGCTTTAGCTACTTATTCAAATATCTCTGCTTCATAACGAAAACGTAATTTACTCTGATTTGGAGTCAGTGTTGCAGCATAAAAAGTAAATCATTTCATTTTATTTATCTGAACGACAGCCGATGAATCAATAGGTTTCATTTATATATATATATATATATATATATCACTGCTTTTGGGCAAAGAATTTGATGCAGTAATCAACTCTAAATTTATCAATTTCCCATTTTCTGCTTCACAATAATGAATCATACTGCATCCCAATGAAGATGAGAGCAAAAACAAGCCCCAAGCCCACTGCATTATAAAACCTGATCCAGCTCATCACATCAACCATATGCCTGTGGGAGGGGAAAGCTTCTGTGGATCAATTAGTATCCGAAGGCAATAATATTCTCTTTAGGAAGCGAAAAGTCACGCTCACTCGTGCAGATCAATACCTTTCCAGGGACCCGGAGACTCTCAACAGCACGGAGGTCACTGAGGCTCTCTGGAGGACTTTTCAGACCCTTCAAAAAGAGAGAAAACAGAGAGGAATTTCAGCTGTGCTGCAGAACTGTAACATGAGAGGAAATACTTACTTGCTTGTTTGTCTTGTTATAATACCACCAAGTTTATTGATTTTGATGTGCAGATATGTGTGATTTGTTTATCTCCTTCAACAGTTGCTTTTTAACATTTTACTGTATAAAGAGAACTGCAGGAGGAGTCAAAAATAAGCTGCAAAGCCTTCATCTTCTTTCACTAAGACCATCAGCTGATAGCAAAAGACTTTCCATTCATATTTCTCAACCCTCACTTAGACTATACTTACTGAAATAAAAATCACCATTTTAAAAAGACATGTTCCTGTTGTACGATACATAGAATATGTTTCTAAAAACAGCTGTCACAATACACACAGTACTATTATTAAATCAAGGAAAAACATACTTTTGGAAATTCAAAATAAAATCACTATATGGCAACTTCATACCTACTGGTTGAAGTCTAAGTTAACCATTATTCCAGAACAACCAAAAGAGAAGAAACTTGGGTGACAAAAAGCATTCCATAAAAGCACTTATCTATGAATCAGGACCAAATTCACTTGCCAAATTGGACCTTGACAAAAAGGTCCAAGCATTATGACTGAGTTAACCAAAGATTTTTAAATAATGATAAATTTTTAAATGATAAAGGCTTAATTAATACATAAATAATCCCTAGAATTTACCTTATCATTCTCATCAATGTACCCAATTTATACTACATAACTGAGAGTTAAATCTCACGTCTCACTGTTTTAGCTCTTTGGTACTTTCTCTATTCCAGGTTCCCTCATGGCTCAGTGATCAATACTCTGCCTGCCAAGTTGGAGACCCGGGTTCGATCCCTGGGTCAGGAAGATCCCCTGGAAAAGGAAATGGCAACCCACTCCAGGATTCTTACCTGGAAAATCGCATGGGCAGAGGAGCCTGGTGGGCTATGGTTCATGGATGACGTAGCAAAGAGTCGGACACGACTGAGTGACTATATAACAGCTTTCTGTATTCAGGGATTCATATTCAAGAATTCAGGGATTCTGAAAGTCTCACTTGTGCACCAGGGAAAGTTATCAAGACAGAAAGAAGTGTGCAATTTAAATTTTCTTTAAAAGCCTCTTTTTAACATAGGCTATTCAAAGCAGACCCCTAAAATCCCTGTAATGATAGTCTAGAAGCAAAATCAGCTGGCACATGAACCTAAGGAGAGATTCATGCTGCTGAGGTTTTGTCCTTTAGCTATCCTATACTGGTCTTCTTGTGTCCATAGTAACCAAAATACATGGCACATTTATTTGAGACTTAGAGTAGAACTTACTCATCTTTAAATTACAGAAGTGTATAAAATACCAATCATAGCTATACTTTTTTTATGACAAGGTGCTCTGCTTCATCCCCACTCTTCCATTTTCCCCAGAAAATGCCCCCCTCCGCCAGCCTTCTCTCCCTCTTTTCTCTCTCCATCCGTACTCTCTCCCTCTCTCATCTGCTCTCATTCTCCCCGTCTTCTTCTCCCCGCACCCTTCTCTCTCTCTCATTCCACCCCACCAAACCAACACCCCACTTTCAGAGCTCCTCTATGAAAATTTCCTAAATCCTATGTTTCAAAGAAACACTATTTCTCAGCATGATCCACGGACCAGCTCCATCACCTAGGAAGTTTTTTCCTAAGTCCCACCACAGATCTAACAAATAGGTATTTCTGGATCAGGACAAGGAATTGCATTTTAACAAGCAACCCAGGTGACTACTATCATTTCTAATGTTTTGGAAACCCTGCTAGACATTTCCCAATACCTCTGCCAAAGTAGCAAAGTTTTAAATAGTAAACATACCTCTCTCTCTCTGGAGCCAAGAGAAGGGAAAGACCAGGTTCTGTTTGCCTCTCTAGCCTATGGCTACCACAATTTCAGGAACACAGTAAACACCAAAGAAATTAGTAATTTATTTGGAGCCTTGGTTGGGCTCCAACCTCCAGCTAATTAAAACCCCATTCCCATGAGCACATTAAACTGACTTTAAAATGAAGTTTCTAGGGAAGTCTGCAGGAATAAGAAAAGCATATGGAAGCTTAAGCGCTTCCCAGGTGGCGCAGTAGTAACGAATCTGCCTGCCAATACAGGAGACGCAAGACATGGGTTGGGTAGATTCCCTTGGAGTAGGAAATGACGACCCACTCCAGTATTCTTGCTTTGAAAATTTCATGGACAGAGGAACTGTCACAAAGAGTCAGCCATGACTGAGCATGCACACATGCACTGAGGCTTAAAGTCTTACAGTGAGTGAGAAAATTAAAGTGTGAAACTACTGGTGTGTGTGTTTTCTTCCTTGTCCCAATTTCTCACCAACAGTCATCATAAGGGCATAGCACCAAAAGTGGTGAAGAGGGCAAGGCTGGATTACAGAATTACCCCTTGGACTGCAAGCAGATCAAAACAGTCCATCCTAAAGGAAATCAACCCTGAATACTCATTGGAAGGACTGATGCTGAAGGTGAAGATCCAATACTTTGGCCACGTGATGTGAACATCTGACTCACTGGAAAAAAAACCCTGATGCTGGAAAAGATGAAAAAACCCTGATGCAAAAGGAAAAGTGGGTGACGGAGGATGAGATGGTTAGAGAGCATCACTGACTCAATGGACATGAATTTAAGCAAACTCAGGGAGAGAGTGACGGAAAGAGGATGCACTATAGCCCCGCGTGCTATATATAGTGCATGGGATTTCTAAGAGTCAGACTTAGTGACTGAACAATAACAAAATACATTTTATATACACACACTTCTATGCATTCATATACACAAACATGAGAGTAAAACTTCATAATTTGATTCAAAACCACAACCAATCCTAAAATATATTTTTAAAATATAATGTTCACGCCTTTTAAACAAACCATTTGTTTAATAACCAGAATATATCAGGTGTCATTTTTTCTTTCCCCAGAGTTAAGAGGAAAGAATCCAATGCCTAAAACAAGCAAACAAGTGGTACACGCCAGTATCTAGAAAAACACCTTGTCTCCACGTTAGTTATCACACAATAATTTGCTACTAATATTAATACATGGCAACTTTCCACCAAACGTACAAAATAAAAGTAATAAAAACTGGAAACCCTATATCCATGTCAGGAAGCAAGCGATTCAAAGAATGGCTTCTGCTATCTTGAACAACCTGCCTGTCATCATAGTCTAATGATAGTAACAACATCTCAGAGGCTCTTATAAGGGATAAAGGAGATACCACATATGAGAGGCCAGAAACAGTGTCTGGTACATGGTAAACACCCTTTAAGTGTTTTCCATTATTCTGAACATCACAGGGAAATGCTTTTACCTCATCAAAACAGAAACCAAGAGTTAGTAAATGCCTCAAAGCACAATATCTGACACTCATCCGTATTTTAGGATTACAGATCCGATTAGCAAATTTATAAATTTCTATTAACAAATATGAAGTCATCATTTTTATTTTATCTTCACCTCTTTAGAGCAGGAAGTCATGGTTATAACTATGCTGCTGCTTGTTGTTCTGTCGCTAAGTCAAGTCTGACTTTTTGTGACCCCTCGGACTGCAGCACCCCAGACTCCTCTGTCGTCCACTATCTCCTGGAGTTTGCTCAGGATCATGTCCATTGAGTTGGTGATGCTATCTAACCATCTCATCCTCTGCCGCCCTCTTCTCCTTTTTGCCTTCAATATTTCCCAGCATCAGGGTCTTTTTTTCCAATGAGTCGGCTCTTCACACCAGGTGACCCAAGTATTGGAGCTTCAGGTTCTCTAACTCCAGCGCTCTGCCTTTTTTAAATTGAAACTTTCACTCTAATCATTAGCCATTGTTTGATTTTCTTTTGTATCTGGTTTTTGTTTTCATAATTTCCCCATACAAAATCCATCATAAATAATACACGCCTCTGCAACTTTCTTTGCCGAATCAGATTACACTTCAGATTCACCTCTGTTTGGTCTATGTGAATCTTCAACTTCCCTCGATGAGAGCAGCAACGCAGGTCCCAATGATCAAAAGGAGCTAGTTTGTGATTCCTTCTCTTTTCGAGCAAAAGTTTCGGCAAAATTCAGAATGTTTATCCTCAGCCCTCGGCTCCTCTCAAACCGCCCCCACCCCCCCGATCGGGCCTTCCTCCTCACCACTTACTGCAGTGCTGCTGTCGAGTCACTGATGGCCTCACTGCTGCTCAATCCAGAGGCTCACTCCTGTTCTCACCCTCCACGGCCCGGGTGCAGCAGTTAGTAGGGCTGCTCACTCCCTCTTCTTTTAGGTTCCTTACTTGGACCTAACTGGCTGGGATGTTCTCTTTATCCAACAGATACGTACTGAGCACCTGCCACAGGAGAGGCGCTCTTTGGGACGCTCTTTGGGATGCTCCTTGGGATGCAGGAGAACGCTTTCAGGGGGACGCTGCTCCCCTCACTGCTCCTTCCCAATCTGCCTTCCTAAATCCCCGAGCTCAGAACTCGGGGCCCTCACAAGCTCCAAGTGCAGACCCTTGTTTCATCTCTACACTGACACCGTTTGTGATCTGAGCCGGCACACACCCTCCTCATGCTCGTGACTCTTGAATGTTTACCTACACCCTGGATTTCTCGTCAGAAATTCAAGCTCTTTCAGCCCAACTGCCTACTTTCTTCCTCCAAACAGCCAAGAGGCTTTCAAATGAACAAGTCTAAAAACTTGCTTCCTTCCTTCAACCTGTTCCTCCCTCAGTCTTACCCAGGTCGATTCAATTCTTCCAGTTGCTGGGGCCAAACCATTTGGAGTCAACCTTGAAGTTTCCCTTTCTCTCACAGCCCAAATCGGATCTATGAAGAAATTCTGTCAACTCCACATTCGCAAATACACCCACGGCCTGACCTTTTCTCAACACCTCTGCTGCTAGCATCCTGAGGAAGGCCCATGTCCTGCCTCCCCTGGCTTACTGCAGTAGCATCCTTGCTGGTCGCCCTGGCCTTCCCACGAGTGAGGAGAGAAGCAGAGAAGATGAGACGGAGATGAGACTATGTGACCTGGCTTCCTGCCTCGCTCTCTGACCTCATCTCCTGCTATTTCTCTCCTCACTCACTTCACTCCTCCCACACCGGCCTCGTGCTGCCCCTCAAAGATGCTCCTGCCTCAAGGCCTCGGCATCTGCTTTTCCTTCCACCCAGAATGCTCCTTCCCAGACATCCTCAGAACTCACTCCCTCACCTCCTTCCAGCTTTTACTGAAATGTCACCTTCTCAGCGAGGCCTGCTATGGCCACCATACCTAAACAGTATGCGCTACGTGCGCTCAGCTGCTCAGTCGTGTCCGACTCTTTGCGACCCCAGACTGTAGACCACCAGGCTCGTCTGTCCATGGAATTTTCCAGGCAAGAATATTGGCGTAAGGTGCCATTTCCTCCCACAGGGGATCTTCCAGACTCAGGGATCAAACCTACATCCCTCATCTCCTGCACTGGCAGTGGTAAGCACTGAGCCACCTGGAAAGCCCCATCTAAAAATTATAAATGACCCTAAATCTCCAACAACTCCCAGGACTCTCTAACCTCTATCCCTCTGAAACGTGTATCACCATGACTGCCTTCACACATGTCTGTTCTGTCACTGCTGCATTCCCCAGACCTAGGATGGTGCCTGGTACATAGAGTTCGGTAAGCACTTGTTGAACAAAAGAACAGAGGCCAGCATCATAGAGAGAGCAGAACAAAGGAACCCATGTAAACAGAGAGAGCTAACAAAGGCTGCTCTACACTCTCCTCCAAACCAAGATCCTTGGAGAGCTGAAATGCCAAAAGTGTCAGAGACCTTAATTTCATACCTCTTCACATTAACAGCAATATATTATCAGCATATTCTTTAGTCCCTCCAAAAAGAAACATCTTTATTTGTATTTACTTGAAATACTGCTATATTTAACCTAACAATAAACAGTACAAATAAAATTCCCAATGCTAGGCAGCACCCTACTTTCATACCTCGTAGATTCATGAAAAGTGTATTAATAATGATTAAATATGAGGCTTCTCTGGTGCTTCAGACAGTAAAGAATCTGCCTGCAATGCAGAAGATCTAAGTTCGATCCCTGGGTCAGGAAGATCCCCTACTGAAAGGAATGGCAAACCACTCCAGTATTCCTGCCTGGAGAATCCCACAGATGCAGGAGCCTGACGGGCTACAGTCCATGGAGTTGCAAAGCATCAGACATGACTGAGCAACTAACACACACAGATATGTGGAAGTCAAGTCATAAATATAATTAGGATGACCTTAAAACTCTGTGTGAAACTCCTAACTTTACCGCACCTTCTATACAGTACAGTTCCAGCTTTTTGTATGTGTTCTTTAGGTTTGTTTTTTTTTTTCCTATCCCAGCTAAGCACAGATTTTACCTGCTCAATCTGATAAACAAATGACTAAGGCTGAAGAGTTATCATTTTCAGAACAATTTCACTACATTCAGGAGACATAAACTTATTATCACTGGTTATTTGGAATTTTGTATTCTTTCTCTCTCACTCACTCTTACAAAGTAGGGTTAGAAAACAAACCAACCAAAGTACAATGATGGCAATGCTGACTGCACTGAACCACCAGCAAGCAACAAGAAAGGGCACCAAACTTAGCTGCTGCACAGAAGTCGAAATCCAGCATGCCAGAGGCAGTTTAGGGGTATTAGTGGTATAATGTACAGAAGTGTATATTGTTTTAAAAGTCAAATGGCTACCAAAGTGAGCCTGAAATCAATGACTGCTTAAATTTATGCAACAGCCAGCTTCCAGTTTTCCCGCTTTTCCACCATCAGTGCAGCCACTGAGATAATCTCTGTGGTTATGCACTTCTTTGTTAGCCGCAGGAACTGTTAACTCCTTTATCTCTTTACTTTGATCATATCATATAAACACTGCTAGGAAAGCCCCATGTGATACATGCTATCATTCCTGTTAGAAAGAGGTGAAAACAGATATTCAAAAGGTAACAATGGGGCTGGGAAAACTGGACAGCTATGTGTAGAAGAATGAAATTAGAACACTTCCTAACACCGTACACAAAGATAAACACAAAATGGATTAAAGACCTAAGTGTAAGACCAGAAACAATAAAACTCTTAGAGGAAAACAGGCAGAACACTTGATGACATAAATCAAAGCAAGATCCTCTATGACCCTCCTCCTGGAGTAATGAAAATAAAAACAAATATAAACAAGCTGGACCTAGTTAAATTCAAAGGCTTTTGCACAGCAAAGGAAACTATAAGCAAGGTGAAAAGGCAACCCTCAGAATGGGAGAAAATAACAGCAAATGAAACAACTGACAAAGGATTAATTTCCAAAATATACAAGCAGCTCATACAACTCAATACCAGAAAAACAAAAACCCAATCAAAAAGTGGGGAAAAGACCTAAACAGACATTTCTCCAAAGGAGACATACAGATGGCTAACAAACACGTGAAAACATGCTCAACATCACTCATTATTAGGGAAATGCAAATCAGAACTACAACGAGGTATCACCTCACCTCAGTCAGAATGGCCATTATCAAAAAGTCTATAAGTAATAAATGCTGGAGAGGGTGTGAAGAAAAGAGAACCCTCTCGCACTGCTGGTGGGAATGTAAATTGATACAACCAATGGAAGAGAGTATGGAGATTCCTTAAAAAACTAGGAATAAAACCACCATATGACCCAGCAATCCACTAAGCATATACCCTGAGAAAACCAAAATTAAAAAAAGACACATGCACCCCAATGCTCATTGCAGTGCTATTTACAATAGTTAGAAAATGGAAGCAACCTAGATGTCCATTGATAGATGAATGGATAAAAAAGCTGTGGTACATATATACAATGGAATATGATTCAGCCATAAAAAGGAATGCATTTGAGTCCATTCTAATGAGGTAGATGAACCTAGAGCCTATTATACAGTGAAGTAAGTCAGAAAGAGAAGGACAAATATCATATACTAACACATGTGTATGGCATCTAGAAAGATGGTACTGATGAAATTATTTGCAGGGCAGCAATGGAGACAGAGACATAGAGAAGAGACTTGTGGACATGGCGGAGGTAGGGGGGAAGGAGAGGGTGAGATGTATGAAGAGAGTAACATGGAAACTTACATTACTACATGTAAAATAGACAGCCAATGGGGATTTGGTGTTATGACTTAGGGAACTCAAACAGGGGCTCTGTATCAACCTAGAGGGGTGGGAATGGGAAGGGGATGGGAGAGAGGTTTCAGGGGGAGGAGACATATGTATACCTATGGCTGATTCATGTTGATATTTGGCAGAAACCAACAAAATTCGGTAAATCAATTATCCTTCGATTAAAAACTAAGTATTTTTTTTAAGTTAGGTAAAGTTGCTCAAGGTCACACAGCTACAGGATGGACCACGATTCAAACCCATCCTCAAGAAAGAAGTGCTATGAAGCATAAGACCAGGACTCAACAAATCTTACTATCCACTTAATTAAATGTTTTATAATTCAAAGAACTTTAAAACTTTATCTTCATGACAACAACAACAACATAATTTGACAGAGGAAAATAATCACATAGAATTCGTGTATTCTTCACCAGAGACCTACAATGTGTAATCTACTCAGATGTCTCTCAAATTCTAAACTATCAAATAAGAATTTAATTTGGAATTTGTAGTCTTTTTTTTTCATCAACAAAAATATTCAGAAATGAATCTCACACTAAATGCTTTGCCTCCACATACTCCAAAGTTCTCAAAATGACACTGATTCAAAATTCTAATCTAAATTACCCTCTCTTATTATTATAAAAATAATAAAGAATGATCAATTCTAGTAAAATATTAGAGCTGAAACAAATAAAGGTATCTAAAACCAAACTATAATCAATAAGTACATAAAAGCAGATTTCTGCCATTTCTGATTTGAAGGAAGCTGACACATTATTAGGATATCCCTATAATTTATTACAGAAAACAGCCAAAGCTTTTATTCAAGATTTAACATTCTGGCAAAAAATAAAAGATCATTATTTTGCCATGACAATGACTTTGTTTTTTAAAAGATCATTTCACAGCCACTAACTTACTGATGACTTTAATAACAGAACTGTGAAACAGGATGAACAAAAATAATTATTATTCTCACTTTCGCATAAGGAAACTTATGCTACTCGATTTAGGGACTTGCCCAAACTCATAAAGCTATCAATATCAATTCTGCCTTCAAATTACTGCCCCCCCCCCCACTCTTTCTAGTCACCTCTATTGCATAGACCTCACTTTCCTACCCAGGCCACCCTCAGACAACCAGGCAGCCTGGGGACAAAGGGAACCCGGCAGTATAGCTAGGGCGATCACTGGAAAATTGGCAAAGGGGGGAAGGGGGAGACAAAGATAACCTCCGGCTCCCTCATTGGCCTTATCTAAAGGAATGTTTTTGGGTCCCCGCGTCCCATCTGAGCAAGGCTCGGAACCCCGCGGGTCAGGTGAGTTTTCCAGGGTGTGCCCAGAATTTATAGTGCCTCTGACACCTGCCACCACCTATAACTTGGGTATCTGCTTGCCTGCGGCCCAGGGACAGAATATCTCGGCTCCTCTCCCAGCAGAGATGAAGGAGACCTTTGCTTCAGGCTCTGAAACTTACCTGCCGGGTCATAAGAGATTTTATTTTTTGCATGTCGAATTCGTGAGGCGGTATCCTGCAGCAGAGAACTAACAAATCACACACAACCACCAAAGTGCTGGCCCTGACACAGGGAAGCCATAGTGAGTGGTCACGTGGAACTGCCGACCTGGGTTTCCCTTCCTATCCCTTAGCATGCTGGGAATTGTAGTCCTCCGGCTGCCGTCGCACCTGTAATGGAGGCGAGACAACGGTCCAGGTACTACATTTCCCGGCAAGCAAAACAGCTGACGCTTCGGTTAAATGCACGAAACTTGTTGCTCTGAGAGACCGCGGCAGCCGCCAGTCTTTAAAGAGGTACTAGGTATCGGGAGCTCTGCTTCGGGGAGGCGGCAAAAACTTAATTCTTAGGTGACCAGGAGCAAATACCGAGGAGGCAGTGTACAAACCTGACTGACATGACGCCCCTTAGGAATGTAGTGAAGGAAACCCCACCTGGTCTCCCGGGCGAAGTGAAAGGACGACAGACTGACGCGAAGAGGCTGGACGCTCCAAGAGCACTTGGCGTTCTCCAGGTGGCGCTGGGCTTGGCCTGAGGAAACGTGTGTCCAGTGCTGGCTGTCCAGGTTCGGGCTCTTCTTCCTCAGTCTTGGTATTCACAGCGGAAAACTGAAACCAAAGGATTTAACTCCCCGCTTATCATTTTACCACCTATGTAATCTAAGGCGAATCAAGATAGAAAATATGAATATAGCAACAGTAGTAAGTAGGCATGTCACTTTAATGTTCTCTTTTCAACTTACAGCAGTTTATAGTTACATTGAGAAAAGCAATAGGGGAGTCTTTGGGGGGTCAATTTAGGAAAGAACTTTCCAATTATAAGAATAGCAGAAAAAGTAACCCAGAGCGAACAATAAATAATAGCAGACATGTATTGAGAGCTTGCTACCTGTCAGAAACTTACTGTCAAAAACCTTGCTAATAGCTTTACTTGTGGTATCTCACTTACCCACACAAGTAAGTGAATGCAATTAATAAATTGTAAGGCACTTCATAATTATGAAGTATTATAGTCATAATTCTACCCAGTTCTTCACAGAAGCACCCTGTGCATAGTTTTATCATTGTGCCTGACAGTTCCTTTTGAAATATATGGTCACCTATATGCTTTTCAGACTGTATTACTTCTAACCCCATGAAGAAATTCCGGTGCCTTTTGGGCAACCTTAGTGTAGTTCATTACAGCGGATTACCTGCTATAATCTTAACTGCCAGACAGTTATTGATTGGCAGTCCCTGAAAGAGAAACTGCTGACCATATGGAATGAAATGAAACCCAATTCACTAAACATTTGTTGATTTCTTGGCACTAGTCAACCCTGTTCGGAGCACTTCAGGTTGATAAAATAGAACCCTGATCCCTAAAGAGTTTACAGTTTAGTTACAAAGTATGTATTAGAGGGGCTCTCAGTTCCTGGTTCTCAAACTTGATTGTTCAGATTCACCTGAGGAGGGAACAGTTGTTGTTCTCATTTTTGTGGGAGTTCTTTGTTTAAGACCCTCAGTGACTTTTATAGGCAGCCAGCTGTAGAATTTAAAATACACTGTTTAGAATGAACCCAGATCCAGACCCAGAATTTTTACACAAGGTTGCAGGTGACAAAAAAAAAAAAAAAAAAAGTTTTTTTTTTTTTTTAATTTCATTCATTTGATGTTCTCCTATCAACCAAATTGGGGAAAAGAGTGGTTTCTGTATCTGCTTGACCTGAAAAGGCAAGGAAGCATTAAAACTCTATTTAACTCTTAATACTCTACATTTTAGTATGTTTCTTTTTAACTATAAGGAGATGGACAACCCAGGCCTCTAAAAGTTCAAAGGCTGTAGCTCTAATAGTAGAAGCATGGAAAGTAAATCAGTGCTATTGTCTAAATAAAATATATGTCCTAATTCAGCATACCCTAACACTATAGAAAATAGTTGAAGCAAACATGGTAGGTTTTTTGACTCCTTAAGCTAAAAAATAAAAACAAAAACCTAGAGCCCTAAAGCACACTTTTTTAAAAAGGTGAAGCATGTTATTTCATTTCCATTTTTCAAAACTACATATGTAAAACTTACTTAGGGGACTTCCCTGGTGTTCCGGTGGCTAAGACTCCACACTCCCAACGCAGGGGACCCAGATTCAATTGCTGGTCAGGGAACAAGATCCCACAGGCTGCAACTAAGAATTCGCATGCCAAAACTAAAGATCCAAAAATAAATGCATTAGACTTATTTAGTACCCACACAGTTGCCTGAGGGTCATTAGTGGTAGACCAGAACAAACTAGTGGAAAGTGTGGATGGCCTCCCAGCAAATCTTGACAAAAGTTTTTAGGATAGTAGTCCGTCTGTGAAGGAATTCCCACCCCATTTTTGTAGATTGGAATATCCGGGCTAAGAAGTAAGTTGATCTGATTTGGGGCAGTCACATTAGCTGTAATGAAGGATAAGGGCTTCCGTGGTGGCTCAGACAGTAAAGAATCTGCCTGCAGTGCCGGAGACCTGGGATCATTGGGTTGGGAAGATCCCCTAGAGAAGGGAATGGCAACCCACTCTGCTATTCTTGCCTGGAGAATCCCCATGGACAGAGGAGCCTGGCGGGCTACAGTCCACAGGGTTGCAAAGAGTTGGACATGACTGAGCGACTCACACACACACACACACACAAGGGCATATTTCTGATGGCCCAGATAGAAGGAGCCTCTGAAGCTTAAATTAAAAGCAGAGATCCTGGTTTGATTAGGACCAGGATGAATTTCTAGTCATCCTATAAATATCAAAGCAGCAGAAAGATGTGGCCTCCCCAGCAAATGTAAAGACATTGCCTGAGCAATCAGTAGTAGAAAAACAGGACACTTGCTGAAGGTAAAGCACTGATCTGGAGAGGGGCCCTGGAAGGAAGATGTTGCTGATAATCATGTAGTAGCCATATAAATTGATCAGGATTCCTGGGAGGCAGTACTATAGACCTAACTGTAGGAGTTGGCACAGGCATGGGTGATTGTGATGGGTGATGTGATCCCTGTAAATTCTGATCTTTCCTGAGATCTATCGAATTAGAAGACAAGGCTTTCTTTCCTCAGTTCTTGCATGCGTGCATGCTCAGTCATGTCCCACTCTTGCAATCCCATGGACTGTAGCCCACCAAGCTCCTCTGTCCATGAGATTCTCCAGGCAAGAATACTAGAGTGGGATGCAATTCCTTTCTCCAGGTGATTTTCCCCGACCCCGGTCTCAAACCTCTGTCTCTTGCTTCTTTTGCACTGGCAGGCAGATTCTTTACCATTGAGCCATCTGGTAAGCCACTGTTCTCTGTGGACCTTGGCACTGGCGTGTCACCACCTCTCCTTCCCAATTCTTCCTACCATTCCAAAGCATTCCTATGCTACTAGTAAATAATGAGTGTGGATGTCTGAAATCCATAGGCTCCTGAACAGAGCCCCTCTGTGGGTTACAGCTGAGATGTGACGTGTAGCTGATGGAAAGTTTCTTACAATGGTAAAACACTTTAAACCATCTGTAATAGCACTTAAAAACTGAGAACAGTTGAAGTTATATTTTAGCGTTATCTTGTGTAGCTTCCTGTGTGAAAAGTGAAGTTGCTCAGTCGTGTCCGACTCTTTGCGACCCCATGGACTGTAACTTACCAGGCTCCTCCGTCTATGGGGTTTTCCAGGCAAGAATACTGGAGTGAGTTGCCATTTCCTTCTCTGGGAGATTTTCCCAACCCAGGGACTGAACCTGGGTCTCCCGCATTGTAGGCAGATGCTTTACCATCTGATCCACCAGGGAAGTCTGAAGTTACTCTAGCAGGTTAAGATTTTTATTCCTACTACCGGCCACGAGAGGGCGCATTGTCATGATTTTTGTCTCAGCACTTTCCCAAGATGAGCCAGTCGTCATTTTTTAATATGTGCTTGCATGCGAAGTCACTTCAGTTGTGTCCTACTTTGTGTGACCCTCTGGGCTGTAACCCGCCAGGCTCTTCTGTCCTCGGGATTCTTCAGGCAAGAATACTGGAGTGGGTTGCCATGCCCTCCTCCAGGGGATCTTCCCAGCCCAGGGACAGAACCCCTGTCTCTTAAGTCTCCTGCATTGGCAGGCAGGTTCTTTACCACTTGCGTCACCTGGGAAGCCCTTTAATATGTGTCTTAACATGAAAAGATCATCTAATTCATTTTGACATTTTATTTATTTATGTAACATCTACTATCACTGTATCATAAAGGCTATTTTAATATAAAAAACAAAAAAAATGCAGAATAAAAATCATTCCTTTAAATTGAGTAAATTTAACATTAGGAAAAACTCACTGGATCATCTTTATTTCTCTCACTTTGCTTAGGACCCAAAAAAGTTCGTCATGAACCAGCACTGGGTTTGAAAAACACTAGAAAGAGCTTATTTACTAAATTGCAATTCAAGATGGATATTGATTTAAAAGATGTGAGGGGGGAGTCTATCTGCTATCTGTAGAATTTCAATATTACTTTCCAAATTGTGTTTTGTAAAATCCAATATTAATATTTGTAGGCATTTCTCAAGCATCAAATGGGAACCAGAAGACATGGACTAAGGAACTTTTGGGTTTATTTCTGGGGGAACAACTTAAGAAAAATACTAGTTAATCACTATGCTAGATTCATAAATGAATAAGACCAGTCTTTGTGTTTGAGGACCCAGAGGGAAAATAAACATGCAACAAAGTCAGTTGAGGTTAATGAGATAAGTGCTGCAACAGTGCTGCTATCTCTAGATGGCATATACAAGATTTAGAAATAGCACAAAGAAAGTTGTGGTATAACAATTACCTGGGGGGAAGTTCTTACCCTTTTTTTTTTCTGAAGCTTGGAGAGACCTCTGAAGAGGTGACCTCTGAAGAGGCCTCAGGTTTTCCAACAGTCACTTTGCTTGTAAGAGCAGATCTGGCTGAACTGGGCTTCCCTGGTGGCCCAGACTGTGAAAAATCTGACTGCAATGCTAGAAGACTCTAGAGTTTGATCCCTGGGTCAAGAAGATCTCCTGTAAGAGGAAATGGCAACCACACCAGTATTCTTGCCTGGAGAATCCCATGGACAGAGGAGCCTGGCAGGCTACAGACCATGGTGTTGCAGAGTTAGACACGACTGCATGACTAAGCTTGAACACACACACACAGGTCTGTTAACCTTAATCTAAAAAATGTTTCCAAACTTAAATTCCAAAATAACTACCACTCTCTTTTTTACCTTTAATTACAATCGAGGAATATTCTTTCTTCACCTATTTTATCATCAAACTTCTTCAGTGAGCCTTTACTTTTCAAAAATGATGTATGCAAGGAATTTTGCATGATTTGATGCAGATTTGTTTTATATAGTAGAGGCTTGGACTGGAAACTTCTTGCAGTAGATGACATGAACTGAAATAGGGGTTAACTTACAGCTTGGTAAATTAAGCGGAAGTGCACTGCCTGGCAGTGAAAAGCCAGGCAGAAAATCCGTAGCCCAGGCACCACTGTAGAGGCAAGATGGTCTCTGAGCCGTTGGTTCACTTACTCTGTGCTTCAGCTGTGAAAATGTGGCCTCAGATATCATCTGTTATAATTATGCGCAGTCCATGATTCAGTGTTACTCGGAAACACACCTGTGGTTTGCTTTTAAAAATAACATGAATCCATAGACTCAATAAACCCATGGTGGACATTTCTAACAGGAAATACTACACCGAAAAATACATATTTAAAGATACTAAGATGCTCTGTTTTCTTTGATATAACTTTTACATGTTATTTCATGGTGATTTATAGCTATTTTAGCAGATATATGAAATACTGTGATCTTCATAGAAAAAAATTTAATTTCAAAATAACGGCATCATTTTCCATGATAAAAGCTTCTGTTTTTTCAGAAAATTTCACAATATGCTCTTGATTATTAAAGCATACTGTTTTTTATTAGAGTCACCCAAAAGGATGTTTTCCTTCATGTGATGATTAACAACTAAGAACAATTCATGAAACATGCTGACAATTACTGATAATCGCTCAGAAGTGGCTCTGAAAGTCACAGCCTGTCTTCTTGCAGAGCATGTAACAGGTGTTCCCACTCCCTGTGTCCTGTGTATACACATTCATTCTGTATTCAAATCACAGAAGCAAGAGGCAAGCTAGGGTCTGTTACCTCACTGCTGATTTCCCTGGCAAATAAACCAGCAGCTGCTGGTCCATGAACCAAGTTACCGCCAGGACCAGGGCACTGTGTGCATGGAACAGGATGCACTCATGGAACCCTTCAGCAGCACGGCTGGGGTCCTTCGGTGCAAAATATACCTCCTTCTCTTAGGTAAGGCACTGCATAAAGTGCATTTTAACTACTTTTTTAAAAAATTGTGAGCATAAGGTAAATATTTGCTCTTGGCTGTAGATTCACTCAGATAATTGAAGGACAGCGCAGAACCTTTTAACAATAACAGTTTGTTCCAGCAAAGAAACAGGATCATTTAGGAGAAAGGAAGTTCAATCAATAGATGGTTATTGTTTTCTGAAGACAACAATTATTGTCAATAGCACTCATTAAGAAAATTAAGATATTCTAAAAACTTAAATGTGTTTCTTCTTTTTATAGAGTTTATATATAGGTTCAACACTCTTTAATGCATTCTACCTTGGCAAACATTCTTATAGGTCATGAATTTGTTACCACTTACCGGGAAACTTAGAACAATTTATGAACATAGTTTCTGGCTATTTTAATTAAAGATATTGTGGTAAACTCTTAACTCTAGCTATTTTTACCTAATTTATGAAATGTGGGGGGAAAGTTAGATTCCAAACTGATAACAAAAAATATACACAATAGGGAGAATTGCGTTTAAAAGTATTATTTCTCCAAAATACCTTTAGTCTTCCTCTTTGCCCAATATTTAATTCAATTAATTTTCCCCCTCTACTTTGTTTCTCCCTCATTCTCCTCTTTATCCTTAGAATTTAAAGGCGTCCACTGTGTCTATGTCATAATTTCCCCAGACTTTCTTTTTCCATTCTTCCTATATCAGCTTTAAAAATCAAGTTAAAAGAACAAGTCAGTTTCTTATTTTGTTTATATCCAACAGATAGGAATTCAAAAAAAACCTTTTATTCCTTAAATTTTAAGAACAAATTAGCTAAACAGCCACTTAAGTTTTTAACCTTCTTCAGTATTTAGAGCTTGCACTTACTGGTATTTTATGGCTTAGTCTTCATAGTACCTGTGATTATTTACATTTATACCTAATGTTGTTCACACTCCATGTACTTGAAATGTACAGTTTGTTAATTTTTTAAATGTTTGAGTTTCCCATAATTGTGATTGTTTTTCCATTACGTTGTCAAATTCAAGCCTATACATATGTTTAGAAATTTTTAGGAAAATTAAGCAGTTACCATAGCTGACTTTTTGTCTTTGTGCATTTTTCTGGGCTTCAAAAGTGTCATTTGTGGCAGTGCCATGCTTAATTTTTTACAACAGGACTGCTGTCATTTCCTAAGTACTTTTTTACAACTGGCTTTAGGAAGCACTGAGAGCCAATTCATTTGAAGGATTCTACCAAACTAAAATTAAACATAATTTCGAGAAATAGATAGGATGTCCATAAGTAGCTAAAGCAGTTATTATCCCTTAAGACTTTCACAAATTTAATCTTCCCCATTGGTAGTGAGTTGTAAAGACCATGGGTAACTTGGAATTTTTTTTTGTATTTTGAAATACTAAGTTATCAGTTTGTTTTTTCTTTTTTAAAAGTCGTAGCTATTCGAAGCCCCAAATGTAGTTTGTATAGTCTATTCAAAGTACATCATCATAATTTCTATTTTCTCTAAAGATACAAGAGTTTATTTACAGTCAACAATAGCTGTGTTGTGCTTGCTAATATCAGACTTGGCAATGGGGAAGTAAATGCCAACTATTTTGAGCTACAGTAGAGGTCACTTTGTGGAGTCTGATGTTTATATTCAATACAGTGAAACTGGTCTAAAGAGTCTTTTGTTGCTAGACTATAGATAATTTCACAATATGAGGTCATGTTCTTTAACATTGGACATTCCTTTATCATGCCTTTGTTTTATAGTTTAAGGGAATCTCTGAAGGGGAGAGTTTTGCTATAATTTTCTATGTCAGATTGTTAATGATATTATCAATGTTCTTCAAAGCAGTATAGTGCCTCAGATATAAAAAATCAAGAGTTTTCTTTTCTTGTACTCAAAAGTATTAACCTAATAATAAAATTGAATTTTCATTTAAGTACAAATATTTGAAATGTCAAATTAAAATTTCATCAATTTTCATATCATTTATTTTCAAAAAGTGTATTTATTCTTACAGAGGTTGACTTTCTAAAATCCACATAGTTCAGTCATTTACATTTCCTTATACAATGAGAAAAGAACACTTGAAAACTTCTGAAGATGAAGCTAATTTTTTTAAGTTAGTAAACTACTGTTTGGACAGCATAAGTTCATCACATCTATAGGGGGAAGTTCAGCAATGGCTAAAGAGTACGTGCTCCTAAAGTGGGGCAGAAGCATACAATTACCTGTTTATTCTGCAAAGTTCATTACAAGGAAGGATTACATCATATCAATAGGCTCATGTATTTCCTGCAAATTAAAAAGATTTTAGTGGCTGATATAAAAAAGTTTATAAGGAAAATTTCATCCCTCACTGATACTCATAACTTTCTACCTATAATGTATCTGCTGAAAATGGTGTAGGCAATCTAAGCAAACAGCAATTGTAACAGCTACGTTCTCTCTCACTGGCATACATAAACTTGAAAAAGCACACATGATTTCATATCAAGAAAGAAGCTAAATGACATGACTTCACATCATTTGGTATGATAAGCGTTGAATACATTCAGAGATACCATTGATGGTAATACATGATGTAAGGTACTACTACATGACGCCTGTTATTTCCAAAATAGACCAAAGAACCAGCTCACTCCCCTCAGTGGTTCCTGTGCCTGCCATATAACACTCTCTACTAGGTCCATGTTTTCCTAGGCTGCAGTGTTTGTGTCATATTCAGTATTTTAATAAATAAAATGGATTTCTGCAACTTTAGTCATAGACTTTCCAGTCCGCTTAAGATTCAGCTTTCTGAGTCAAGATCCACCTACATTTCTGTTCCAGTCATGCTCGCACTCCAAGGTAATAAAGTGTTTCCCAGTCATTTTCAGAATATTACGATCTCAGTTAATCTTTTTTCAACTCAGACCACACAAAAAAAGTAGATTAAAAAGGGTGCTTCCTCTTTTCAAAAAAAAAAAAGTAAAAAGTAAACAAGGACTTCTGCAATGACTTCCCCAAATGCCAAGAACAGATTGGCCAGGATTGCACTCGGGCCATCTCTAGCTACAGCGCAGTCTACCAGCAGTTTCTAAGCTGAGGTGTGAAATGTATTAAATAGACCAATAAATCAGTGACCAAACTGCTCACTGTCAGAGGCAACTGCCGAACTTTTTATCAGCAGCCATGCCGCTTTTTCCAATGTCTTCACAAGGCAGTGATGTGGCTTCCCACCATCCCCCTTGAGTCCTTGGCAGAAAAACACAGAACTGCCACTTTATTAAAAGATATCCTTGGTGACTCAGTGCTAAAGAACACACCTGCCAATGCAACAGTTGCCGGTTCAGTCCCTGGGGCAGGAACATCCCCTGGAGGAGGAAATGGCAAATCACTCTAGTATTCTTGCCTGGGAAATCCCATGAACAGAGGAGTGTGGCAGCAACAGTGCATGGAGTCACAAAGAGTCTGACATGACTTAGTGACTAAACAAAGGGATTGACAACTTATTAAGTAGACTTAAATCTGAGAGTCAGTACTTCAAAATTCTTTGGGCCCTCTCTTACTTAAATATGGGCCCTTCCCCTTCAAATGTAGGGTAGCTGCTACCATGAGAAAGGCATCTTAGGATGTTGAGAACATAACCATAAGGTGAGGCCTTGGACCTCATCTAATATAACCTTTTCACACAAAAGAAAACTGAGTCACAGAGAATTAAAATGACTTATCTAAGGTAAGTCATCTAACTAATCACAATTTTATCCCAAATATGTATTCAACACCTCAAACTTTAGTGGACTTTTAACTTTATTAAAGTAGCAAATTCAAAAATCTCTCTGAAACCTTAGAGAATAGGTTCGTAAAAGCTCTTATTTCCAGGCAGTTTACAAGTGATTAATTTAAGAATGTGTGGACAGGGGAGTCCAAGATCAAGAATTAACCATGAAACCCACAGGAATATTTTTGTATTCACTGAAGTATAAAAAAAAAAAAAGGAAACAGCAACACAATAAATACAGAGAAAATTACATTTTGCATATCTTAAGTTAGTAATAATGGGCAAACTAGTTTTTATTTATTTCTTGCCAGGAACTTGTCAGGCACTTCCTATCGCCAATTACAATGAATGTCATGAAAATACATGCTGTTTCATGCTATATCACAGGTACTAAGAATAATAATTTCCTGTGCAGGGCCCCCACCCAGATGCCCAATGTCTTCCTAAATCTATGGCTTCAAGAGCTTCACTCCCTTCTCACTATCACTGCTTCACATATCTCAGACATCACTAGTGTTAAGTCCTAGATTTACTCTCTCAACTTCATTTATCTCTCTTATGATTTCCTTTCCTGCAATCCACTATATCTCCTCTTTACAGCTCTCAGCAACCAGTTCCTTCTTTTTCTAATGATTCAAATTAAGAACAACTACAAATTTAACATTCTTGCACTTGTCAGAAAAGAAAATAAAAGTAAATGCTCATACCTTTGTAGCTCATTTGTAATGGACCAAATCATTAAAATGAAATGTGCAGATACAACCCGTTGTCAGGAAAAAAAAATTACAAGTCAATCACAAATATACACAGAGGCCAAGGAGTCTGTAAGACACACATTTATTTTTGCCAGACAGTCACCTAATTTTCACTCCATATAGTCAGTTTCAATTGTGCATCTTCTCCCTGTAACCTCCTCCATCCTTCTTCTTTGTTCTTTCTCCTTTTCACTTCTTTGCTCTGACTTCCCTGCTGGCCCCAGGGTCTCACTCTTCACTGCTGCTGCTGATGCTAAGTCGCTTCAGTCGTGTCCAACTCTGTGCAACCCCACAGACGGCAGCCCACCAGGCTCCACCATCTCTGGGATTGTCCAGGCAAGAACACTGGAGTGGGTTGCCATTTCCTTCTCCAATGCATGAAAGTGAAAAGTGAAAGTGAAGTTGCTCAGTCACGTCCGACTCTTAGCGACCCATGGACTGCAGCCTACCAGGCTCCTCCATCCATGGGTTTTCCAGGCAAGAGTTCACTAACAGCTACCCAAAAACTAAAACCATGGAAATCTTTGCTCTGACCTTCACCCTGGGAAGGAAAGAAGAAAATTTACTGTTGGTGGCTTTTTATTCCTCACAGGAGCAGGCCAGCATCTTTCAGTTTCTCCAAAGACAATCATTGTACAAACAGATCTTTCTGCCATTCCCTTCTTAATATTGATGGCTTTCCATAATATGAATCAGATAAATCTTAAAGACCCCCTTGCTAGTAGAGATAAAAAGGGAGAAGCAATGAAAGAAGATAAAAACTTTGTATAAGACAGAATTGAAATTGTAAGATGTCTCTGCATGCATGATAAGTCGCTTCCGTCATGACTCTGCAGTCCTATGGACTGTAGCCTGCCAGGCCCTTCTGTCCATAAGACAAAATGTCTTCCAAAAATGTCTCCCCATGATTAGTTTATTAGCTGCTCATTAATAAATGACAACTCTATTCTTCCAGTTGATCAAGTCATTAACCTTAGAATCATTCTTCACTCATCTTTGTTTATCCCACTCCCAACGTGTCATCAAATACTGTAGGCACCACCAGGCTTTTCTCACAGTATCTTTTACTACCACCCTTATCGAGAGCACAGCCCTGTCTTGCCTACTTTATTGCAGGCACCTTCTAAATGGGCTCCCTTCTGCTCTTTTTCCTGATTCAGTCTGTTCTCACAGCAGCTAGAGTACACCTTTAAAAAAAATAAGAAAACCCCTATCCCTCCTGCTCACAAAACTCTGGTCGTGTTCCCGTCTTGCTCACAGTAAAATTGCCTGAGTTGTTTGCCGTGACCCTAAGGCACTTACTGCTCTGGCCCAGCCGTCTTGCTGGCCTCCCGTCTCACCAGGCTCCGCGGGCTCCACTCGGCTCCATCTCTTCCTGTCTCTTACTGTTAATCGAACACACAAACCAGATCCCCACTTCTCAGCAGTAATAATCAATCACAGCTGGTAATGGTTTGCTACCATTGTCCTTGGGATATTTGCATTTGGCAAAGCTTTGGCTAAAGGGAAAAACTTCCAATTAGGGACCACCAGGTCACGTCAGAAGACTGTGAAGGAAGATTCTCAAGAGGAAGTAGCCCCTCAATCACATAGCCTGATTAGGATATGATATGACTCAGACATTAATACGGTCACAATTTCAATTTTTTTGAAGGTTCCGTTGGACTTCAGAACTAATCGTCTATCCCAGTTCTCCTTTTCCCATTATTCTTTAACAGTCGGAGATAATAACTTCTGCTTTTCCTTTTCATCATGCATTTAAAGAGGTCATGCGATCCACACAGTCTTTGGGTGGAGTTTTAAAAATGCTCATTTCAGAGACAAATATTTACCTCTACAGGTAGCCAGTACTAGCCTAGTCAGTACCTAGAAGCCTCTCTTCTTTGTAAAGGATTATCGCCCCATCAGGCTCTCTCTCGTTTTGTGCCTTTAGGTTATGAAATGTGGCTCAGGGTCTTTACAGCTTTCCTTTCCCTCACAGCAGGTGCTTGCTCGGGGCTGAAGGTGGCAGTGCCATCACAGACCGTCCATGGCATCAGGGGTCAGGCTCTCTACCTCCCCGTGCACTATGGATTCCACACTCCAGCATCAGACATCCAGGTCATATGGCTTTTTGAGAGACCCCATACGATGCCCAAGTACTTGCTGGGCTCTGTGAACAAGTCTGTGGTTCCCGACTTGGAATACCAGCACAAATTCACCATGATGCCACCCAACGCCTCCCTGCTCATCAACCCGCTGCAGTTCACCGACGAAGGCAATTACATTGTGAAGATCAACATCCAGGGGAACGGAACTCTGTCAGCTAGTCAGAAGATTCAAGTCACAGTTGATGGTAAGTCCGCTGTGAGGGACATTGGCTGCTAAGTAGCACCGCAGTAAGCAGTGGCTTAGGAGACTAGGCTACCTGGGCTTTAGGTCTGCTCTGCAACTTTGGGCACATTAACCCTCAAAACCTCAGCGTCTCATGGCATGAATGGCATTATCCACCTCATGAGGCTTTCTGGGGAGTAAATAAGAACATACGTAGAAAGGATACGCACAGTGCCCAGCTAAAGGTAATCAAGCAGTAAGTAGGAGTTATTGTTTGCCTGGAAACTATCAAGTGTAAAGTTGCTGATGTGATGAGATGGAGAAAATTTTATTTTTCATTAGCAGAATGCAACCTGGGAAGAGCCCTATTTTTTGTCACATAAAGATTTGTGCGGTTTTTTGTTGTTGTTGTTTTATTAATTTTGGTACACTGGGAGAGGATGAGACTTGCTCAATGACCATACTCGAGGAACAGCAGAAGGTGCTGGGAATGTCCTCAGAGGAAGAATGGGATTCAGCTAACTTTCAAACATTTATTTTCCTTAGTGAGATGTGTAAGCAGTGTACCTTAAAGATAATATACTATGTTCAAAGACAACTTTTGATTTTTCCCCCTAAACCTGTCTGTTTAACAATATTCCTCTGTTTTAGCAAATGCAAGCTTCATTCCATCAGTTGCACTCTGCCATCACCCTTGAGTCTGTCTTTCTCTCACATCCTCATCCAGTCCACAAATTAACCCTCTCAGCTTTACCTTCAGAATATGGACAGAGGTGAGTCAGTCAGTTCTCGCTGCCCCCACAGCTGCCCTACTCAAGCCCACCATCAGCTCTGGCCTGGACTCTCCAAATAGTCTGTGCCCACTCTCCCTGCTTCCACCCCTGCCTCCTGCAGCTCCAAATCCTCCTGTGGCTTCCTGTCTCACTCACAATCAAAGCCAAAGTGCCAACAGCGTCCCTCAAGGCCCATGTGATCCCCCCAACATACCCAGTCCCCCTCTGACCCCTTCCCACCTCTCTTCCCCTCACCAGTCTGGCCTCCTTGCTGTTCCTAGAACAAGCCAAACACTCTCATACCTCAGTGTCTCTGCGCTTGGCTGTTCACTCCACACAGATTGCTCTTCTCTCACATACTGGCCTGGTTCCCTCCCCTATTTCTTTATCGTCTTAGCCAGAGTGTCACTTTACCTGTGAAGGCTTTTGTGACCACCTTATGTAAAGTATAACTTCATTCCCCCAAACTGAGAGAGAGGGTGAGAAAGAGAGTTACTATTTACCTTGAGTTCCGCTTTATTCTTTTCATAACACTGGATATCTTACATGCATTTGTTTCTTTTATTGCTTCTCTTCCTGGTCTAGAATACAAGATCCATGGGAGTAGGCTTTATATTGTTTGCTGCTTTGCCCTCACTGCCTAATCCCTGATGCTGGCCGTTCGTAGGCACTCAGTAAATATGTGCCCAGGAAATGAGTGGACCTGGAGACATTGCCGGGGAACAAAGACACAGGCTGTGGCAGCAGATGCCTAGAGGGGAACTTTGGGGAGAGAAAAGGAGGACATTTTTTACACTTTCATGAAATTCTCCTGGGTAATACCCTATCTCTTCCCCCCAAACTTTTAATAGAACATCCATTCCTTGTTAATGTGTAGTGCAATTGGATGTGTTGAGGAAAACGGAGCCAGAAGTTCTTTATAGAAAAAAAATGTTAGGTATAGTTGATTTACACTATTATATTAGTTTTAGGTATATGATGTAATAGTTCAGAATTTTTATAGGTTATACTCCACGTGTAGTTACTGTAAAATATTGACCACACTCCCTGTGCTGTATGATGTACCCGTGTAGTTCGCTTGTTTTACACGTGTTAGTCTGTACCTCGCACTTGTTTCTGTAGTCACCAAGTCATGGCCTACTCAGTGGCGACCTCGTAGACCGCAGCCCGCCATACTCCTCCCTCCACGGGATTCTCCAGGCGAGAACACTGGAGTGGGTTACCATTGCCTTCTCCAGGGCATCTTCCCAACCCGGGGATTGAACCTGCATCTCTGCATTGCAGGCAGATTCTTTACCACTGAGCCAGTGGTTGATTTACAATGTTATATTAGTTTCATGGTATACAATATAATAATTCAAAATTTTTATAGATTATACTGTTTATAGTTACTATAAAATAGTGGCTATATTCCCCATGTTGTGCAATATATCTTGTAGCTTACTTATAGTGCTAGTTTATACCTCTTATTAACCTACTTCTATCTTTCCCCTTCCCCCTGCAACCAAAAGGTCTTAGTAGGGATTTAGGACCTGTGTTGCAGAAGGAAATGGCAACCCACTCCAGTATTCTTGCCTGGAGAATCCCATGGACAGAGGAGCCTGGCGTGCTACAGTCCATGGGGTCACAAAGATTTGGGCGTGACTGAAGTGACTTAGCACACATGCACAGGACCTGTGTAAAAAATCTCTTTGGGAAATTTCCACCTCTGAGTGACACTGTTAAACCCAAGTGCATGATCACAGTACCAGTGTCTTTTCTAATGGTTGGTTCTCCCCGTACAAGACTTTAGATGTTACCTATTTGACTTTTCCCATATCACATATAATATTTCCATGCACAGGCATTTTTGAAACAAAAACTATTTCTACATAATAAATGTACCAAACAGTCTTTCTTTTTAAATCATGATACTCTAAGCAAAAGCTACTGCAAACCGTTTGCTCTTGCCAGGGAATATAAAGGGTTAAAATGAGTGGACATCTTGATTGCCTCCATCTTGAGAAAGGCTGGAGCCTTCAGGGCTACCCAGCTTTCCTGCAGTTTGCTTTTCAAACTCCTTTCTCCTTTCCTGTCTTCTCTGGGTGGAAGGATTGAATCTGTATATGCTCTAATGCGCATTTGCCAGTGTAAAATGAAAGTGAGCATGAGTCAAAACAAATTTACCTGAGAAGATGCATCAACTCCAATTAAAAGTCTGATAGGAATTCAAAGCTAAACACTGGAACCAGTTGTCTGTTACTTATTTATCATCTTACTCTCTCTGTGTGACCTGTAATTTTGCATAGAAGGAAAGTTCATAATAGGCTTTGGTTTGTTAGAGACTAACATGGTACAGTGACTGAAATAATACTGCAATACAAATGCACAGCAATTAAAACATATAATTAGCTTACTTACATAGGAGGAAAAGTAAATGGTGAAAATATGATTCTTTAAAACTTTTGCTTTATACCCCCAAAGTATAGTATGTCTAAGCTTTGTATTTTGCAGATAATGAATAGGAATCTGGGTTCACTACATCTATCCCAACCAATTGCTCTCAGGATAGCAGGACAAATCAAGAGAGGGGAATAGTCATGTAAAATTTGCCTGTGAGAGTAAACCTTTATGGTGTTGGAGGGAGCACAATGAACAGGAAATAAGGAAGCTGATGTTCCTCACCGCTAACTGCATTATCTATAAACTAAATGTTTTCGTTACAAAATTCTTGAAGACGAAGTTCTAGAATTGGTTATCTCTACTATAAATGATATTTTTAAATCATCATTTTCTATTTGTAGTGACTTTTTTATCCTCTTCTTTAATTACTTCCTGAGCTGTCTACATTTAAAAAGTACAAAATTTTGGAATCATTTTCCTCGGATTTAAAACATGTGAAAGACCTCCTAGACTTTAATTATAATCCTGGGGTGACAAAGATTATTTCTCTTGTTTTGATGTTGCAGACCCTGTCACGAAACCAGTGGTGCAGGTTCAGCCTTCCTCTGGGGCTGTGGAGTACGTGGGGAACATGACTCTGACGTGCCTCGTGGAAGGGGGCAGCCGGCGGGTTTACCAGTGGCTGAAGAATGGGAGGCCTGTCCACACCAGCTCCACCAACTCCTTCTCTCTTCAGAACAACAGCCTTCACATTGCTCCAGTGACCAAAGAAGACATTGGGAATTACAGTTGTCTGGTGAAGAACCCTGTCAGTAAGATGGAAAGCGACATCATTATGCCTACCATATACTGTAAGTTTTTAAAAATGTAAATGTATTTATATACCCCTGGAGAAGGAAATGGCAACCCACTCCAGTATTCTTGCCTGGGAAATTCTATGGACCGAGGAGCCTGATGGGCCCCGGTTTGTGGTGTCACAAAAGTCAGACATGTCTGATCGACTGAGTTTTCTTCTGGGAAGTTTTCACCAGAGTTGTCACAGAGAACATCAATGCCAGGTGCCATTTGGTTCTCACCACTATTGTAATGCAGTGCCAGCTGCAGTTGTACTTCCTAGGCACTGTCTTGTCATGAAGTATAGTTACTTGCACAGCCCAATTTCTTGAAGATCCAGTTGAGATACTGGTCTTTTGAATATATTCTCTGACTCAGTGCATTCTGTGACCTTATTGCCAATGAAAAATAGAAACCTCAATTTCAAGAACCCAGAACCATGCAGAAGGCATTGATTTATTCACCCATAAGGAGGGAGAGTTGTTCGTCATAAAATGGGACAGGGATGTGCTCTGGAGCTGACCACTGGGAGAAAGAATGTTCCCAGGTTATATGTGGGTTATACGGCCCAGGGTATGGCTAGTCTTTCTGCCCGTTTTCTCAGCCCCGTTTTTAGAGGCAGGGTGCAGAGAGGATCACAGAGAAAACCTAATTATTCTGCAGCAAGTTATTCAGCTTCCCAGCGAATCTATAATTATTTCAGGTTTCACTTTTCTTTGGTTCTTTTTTCTGTTGCTGTAGTTGCTGTTGTTATCGTTGTGATTTTAATCTCATGTACGAAGTTAAATTCACCAAACTTTTCAGTCCATGTCGTATGATCATCATCAACCCATGCAAGATCTCTCTTGATTGTATTACTTTTCCCCGTCACCTCTACTCCGCAGCACCACCTCTAATACGTTTAGCCTTGCATCCTACTTTCAGCCTCTCACAAAGTTTCTCAGCCTCCACCCTAATGACATTTTGACTGGACAACTCTTTGTTGCGGGTACTTGTCCTTTGCATTATAGGATGTCTAACACCTGCCTAGCCCCTACCTGCTACATACCAGTAGCACCCTTCCCTCCAGTTGTGACAACTAAAAGTGTCTCTAGACATTGCCATATGTCCCCTGAGTGCAGGAGAGAGGGAGTGGTATGTGCAGAATCTCCCCAAGTTGAACCAATGGCTTTTCACATTGGGAAGCCGTCTGATCAGTTGCCATCGTAGCTGACTTAGTGCGTGGCCACAGCAGCAGTATAATGAAATAAATGAGGCATGGCAAAGGAAGACTTCTCGCCCTGTGGCGTGAGGGTGGAGGGGTCAGCTGGGTGAACCACAGGGGTAGAATTAAGCCTTGTAAATGTATCTACTCCCTCATCAAACATATCTCCATAATGCCCAGAAAGGCCCTAAAGACTATTGTTTAAGTGTTTAGGAGGTAGACAGACCTAAGTAGGCAATGGGTTCTGTCACTACATATGTGACCTTAAGAAGTCCCTGACCTTTCTGGGCCTCATCTATAAAATGAAGATGGTTAAAACTACTTTCCTACAATAAATGAAATCCTGTCTGAAAATTAGCCAGTGACTGACACCAAGCAGGCATTCAGTAAGTGGAGGCTGTTTGTGTTATCAACACATCTGTCTTCTGTTTTCTTCAATAGAAAGTTGATAGTCTTTCTTGAGAATGTGTGTTATTAATTCTTTGAGGAAAAGCACCAGCATATGTAGGGTTGTTTTTTTTTTTTTCAGCTAGATCAAGCTTAACAATAAAACTGAGCTCCAGAAATGTGATCGGAAAAGTGACTTCTGAGAAGTATAATATGGTGGTTTGATACAGGTATACAATAAGATCTGCTTCATTAAGCAAGATTCAGATAAGAAAAATGGAACCATTGATTCTTTTAAAAAATCTTTTAATGTGTTTATTGGCTGTGTCTGGATTTCAACAGTGGACAGATGACAGGTTAGGATAATCAAAGGGATTAAGTACAAAGATGTGAATGGGATGTAGGAGAAACCCAGACTGTTACCAATAAACCTGATTCTGCACCTAGATCCAGAAGTACAGGTGCAAGGAGAGGTTCCTGGAGACCTTGAAAAGTAAAATTCCATAAAGCAGGGGCCTCTGGTGGAAAGAAACAGCCAGAATAAGGAAAGGAACAAGGAAAACAAACACCTCAGCCTCATTCTCCTCCCTCATTCTAATCTTCTGCCAGGAATCCCCCGTGGCCAAATTCACCCAGAAGTCGGAGGGAATGGGAACGCTGCACAGGTTAGGATCATGGCACGCTGCTTCTTAACACTGGAAGCTCTCCAGTATTTTAGCAGAAATGAGATAATGTGACGATGAAATGTGTGAGACCGTCATAGATACTGTAGGAATGCCTGCAAAGGAGCACAGCATGGGCACAGAACTCTGGAACGGAAGGCCTGGATTCAAATCCTGCTTCTGCCGCCTTAGCTCTCTTGTGCCTTAGTTTCCTCATCTATAGAATGGTGATAATCATAGTAGCTACTTCCTAGGTACTGTTATTATTTGGATTAAATCTGTTACTGTACGTAACTTGCTTACAACAGTGACTCAGTGTGAGTTGCTCAGTCATGTCCAACTCTTTGCTACCCCTTGGACTGTAGCCCACCAGGTGGCTCTGTCCAGGGAATTCTCCAGGCAAGAATACTGGAGTGGGTTGCCATTTCCTTCTCCAGGGGATCTCCCCCACCCAGGGATCAAACCCCAGTCTCCTGCATTGCAGGCATATTCTTTACCATCTGAGTCACTAAGAAAGCCCCACAGTGACAGGCCCATAGTAAATAGTATATAGCTGTTGGCTACTATTATTACTACAATATTACATGTCTTTGGGAATTCAGAGAAGGAAAACATTACTTCTAGCTGGAGAGAAGGCTTGTTGTAGGAAGTAACATTTGAGATGTACCTCGAACGATGGATTTGAAGGGGACAAGGGGAAATGTCTGGAAGAACATTTAAGGCACTAGGGAGAGTAGACACAGATGCTAGACAGAGACCAGAGTATTTGGCAAGTGGTCCAGTTTGACTGGAGCATAAGATGCAGCAAGGAATAGATACAGCTTCCCCACGCCCCTCTGTCAGAAAATGGAATGTTCCTTTGAAACCTTGTATGAATCAAAATGGTGCAAAGTAAACAAGCATTACCTTATGACCTGTTTTGCTAAGGGATGCGAAAAGTGAGTCAAAATAAAACACAGGTGCCCACAAAGTTCAGAGCTATGGAGGCTTGATGCTGAGATGCTGAGTGTAGTTCCGTGGGAAGGAGCTTGGGGGCACCACTTTTGCTGCTGGGGAGCCCACTGCCTCTAAAACAGTTCCTGGAAAACAAATTCTGAACGCTATTTTTCACTTTTCATCTTTTTTTCGAGAAAGCAAAAGTCCTCTCCAGACTTCTCTCAGTCAGCTAAAACAGATACTAATGCAGGTCTTTCATAAAAGCTAAGTGGCATAAGCAGAGCTTTGAAAAGCTGCATCAGATTGCAGGGAGCTTTGAACACCAGGCATCACTTGGTAAACAATTAGGAAAATTATTTTTTAAGAAAGCTCCAATTTTTAGAAGACTGCAGAATATTTTATAAATAAATACACAAACATATTCTAGGGTAAATCAACAAATGTTTGTCTAGAGAGCATGTTTTCAAGCTAGATCATGAATGTCATACAATTATAGAAAGAATATATATAGGAAAGGAAAAAAGGGAGGTAGGATGTATTTTATTAACCTATTCTACAGATAAAAAAAGTCAGCAAATTTGAGCTGCATGCAGTAATTAAACACATCTAAGAGCAACTTAAAAGCATTTTTTCCAAAAAAAATATTGTTCACACAGAAATAGAAAAAACTTCATACATTGTATAATTCAGCATTAGGGTAGGGGAATCCAAAGAGGATTATCTGCTAATCCAACCTAGCTCAGAATTCAGTGTCTCAAAGATGAACCAGTCTCTTCATGCAGAAAGAGGAGAAATTATCAATGTATTAAAGAGCATAAAGGAAGAAGGAAATTATAGTTTTTCACCAAAAAAATACCAAAATACCACTCTTCAAGCAAATTATATAAGATTTATTGCAATCACTAGTTATATTGTGTTTAACAATGACATTGTTTTTATAGCTAAACTTTTAGCTATATTTTATAGTAGTTTTATGTAATGTTATATTCAGATAACTGTGAAAATATTCTGTGTGCCTTAAAACACAGAGAAATGGATTTACAAAGTATAAATTGTGACTATCTGCATGGCTAGCATTGAATTAGAGTGAAAAATTTAGATTTGGCACTATCTGTTAGTACATGTAGTCATATTCTTGACTGAATAAGGTTATTTTGACATAAATTTAAACTTCCATTCAACTCCAGGGAGCACAGACCTAAGCATTCAAGTTACCTGAACACAGTGAAAGAAAATGGGAGCAGACAAATGAAATCAAATCTAGGGCTATCTAGAGACTCCTTACATTATTTAGGATGTTCTTTATTATATGGTCTAAACAATTTACATTCACATAGAAAAGGTACAAAATGGAAAACAAGATATTAAACCAACCAGGTATCATCAACTAACAATTAATTCAGAGAAACAGTCACTCAGTGTAGTAAGAGACAGCAGAAAATTATGGTGGAGCATTCTTTGTCCATTGACGAAAACCTGATCATATTTTGTTTCCATACAGACTCCAATAAGTGCTATGTCCTTTGGAGAGTATAGCATTTAGCACAGTGTTATGAGTCTAAGCTGTCATTCAAGCTGCCTGCGTTAAAGCTTTGGTTCTGCCATTATCACTCTGTGTCAGTTTCCTTATCTCCTTATCAGCACTGTCCCAGTGTAAGGCTAAACCCTATCTCTAGAGGAATGGGGAGGATTGTGTGAGATTTTATGTGTAAAGAAGGCAGTGAGTGGCACATAGGAAAAACTCAATAATATTAGCTGCTTGGCTTTTCCTCTTTTTTTTCTTTTCCCTTGGATCCCAAACTATGCTGACATAATTGGCAACATGACA